ATCGCAAAACCAAATGATATTAAATTAGCTCTTGCAAGTGAGGAATGGCCATCAAATGTCAAAAAAACACAACATGAATTATCGTTTAAAAACATTATGCTTGGTTGGGGTGGAAAAGTTGGTGTATTGATGAAAGCAAAGTGCAACAAAGTGTGATTAGCAGTTACGACGTACAGCCAGGATGTGACTTTACTCCCCTGAGGAGATGAAAATTGTGGCAGATAAAACATCAGATCTGTGATAATAAAACTGTAAAGTTCCTCTAATTAATACATGGCTTTCTACCTTTTGAGGTTTGACTGGCACTCTTATAGTTACGTTGTGTTGTTGTGCTTTCCTTCTGAATGATTTATAGCACCCAAATGCGGAATTAGCGCAACCAAATGTTTATCCCAACGAACCCAACATTGAACATTCGCATAAGGGTACTGGATGGAAACGCATAATTATTTGCATTTTCTTTTGTGGATATTTTTGTTACATTTGAATTTAAATCTGTCTGAGTTTCTTCCACACCAGTTCCTGTGCAAAACTATCCACCACCTTTTTAACATCCATTGCTCAGACCAGAACGCAAGATGCTAACAGCTAATTATGCACTCTGAGCTGATGGAAGGTTTCCTTCTTGGGATATAGAACATTTTCCACACATTACATTTGTGACTTATGGCACAAAAACTCCTTTCCATAAGCTGTCAGTCATTAATCACCCCTCATACGCCTAGTGTGCACGCCTCAATGCTTGGAAAACCACATCCAGTAGTTGCAAAACTACTACGACTGTAAACCGGAGGAAAATAATGTTAATATAAACCAAATTATTATGTTTTATTCTCACCATAAGCTATACAGAACCTTCATTACGTAATTTTTTTTAATTAAAAGCTATAGATACAATAGTGTTTTTTACCTGAACAATTATAAAATCCGCTATAGGACAGTCATCTAGGGCTTAAGTGGAATTTTGTGCATCTTTTATCTGACAAAAACAAAAAAGAAAACTGATATAACAGCAGTGCTGCAGTCTTTTTCTTAATCACATCAAATATCTTCAAAGATAATCCATTTATCACATGTTGCAGAGCAAGCATCTGAATGGCAAGTTCAAATACATGTTATCCCTGTACAACAGTATGATTAATGACAGGATAAACATCAAGAAAGTTGCATGTTTCTAAGTTCAAAAGACGAATATGTTCATCTTTTTCAGAGTTTATGTTTTTCTCAATCATCACCACCAACAAGGCTACATATATTCAAAATGTAAGTTATTATTTTTTTTATCTATTCCTATCATTGTATCTTTTCTGGTTTTCTGTTTAGAAAAACAAAACATACATACGGTAACTGGCAGACGGCTTTACATGAAACTATACACATCCACCAAAACCTCTTCAGAAAAAGAACAAGAGGAGACAAAGAAGTGCTTTTGAAGAGTGTTTGTTGGAAGGAAAACATGAGCGTTTGTGTGAGTTTTCGTTTGGAAGAGAGGGTGACATTGCTCAGAAGCAAACATCAAACAGAGAAGGAGGTAAGGGTGTGTAAAGTGTGCTTACAATTTCCCTGTTTACAGAAACCTCCAGAGCTCCCTTGACAAAAAGCTTGTTTCTGTCAAAATGATGTTTTTTTTCATTGTCTATGTAAAAATCTTGTCTTTTTCAGTTGTTTTTTAGTCGTTAGTCGTTAGGCTTGTTTGTGCCTTTGTCAGGTAATTTAACCTTCTACTTCTTGTTTTGAAAATTGACAAAGATTGAAAACATTTTTTTTATTTTAGTAATGACACTGCAGCCAATTTGCTCTCGTGTGAATACCAATAATCCTGTTAGTTCTTCTTCTTCGTTACATAAAACTTCTTGTCTTTGCTGCTTGTGAAAACACACTAAAGCTGCAAATTGCCAAGTTGAGAATATTTTTTTGTTTCTGCCTGATCCAACTTCTCAGATAATTGCTTCTGTTTTTGATGAAACTGGAAGTATAGTGAACTCAGTCAGATCTTTGAAACTCATTTCAGTTTTGCTATTCACAAACAATAACGACTAATGGAGCGGTTTTTACATCTAATAGTTCCAAAATGCTACAGTTCAGTATCGTATGTATTTATGCTAATACAGCACTGTGAAATTCAATGAGAGAGAGCCGTAGAGTTTTGAAATTGCTTCAGATCCCATTTAAGATCGTCTCTTTTTCTACCCCGGCCGTGTCCTCAGCTTCACTCTCTGCAACTTCCGCTGCTCTCAGGGAGCGAAATCTTCGTTCTACCATCAAAGAGTCTTTGCAGCACAAAGCTGAATCTTCAGCGCTTGGAAAGTCTCCTTTGAGGACGCCGAGATCCCTTCACCTTAGCTCGGACAGCTCAATATTAAATGTCTGCAGATTGGATGTCCAGCCAATCTCTTCTGAGGACAACGAGGGTCATCACAACACCCACATTTCAAATCAGTGACCCCTAAAACTTTAACCCGAAAAGACTGCGCTTCACACAACTAACTGACTGACGGTGGTCCTAGATCAGTTCTTGGGAGTGCTCTGGAACTAGACTTGAGGAAGGGAGGGATAGAGAGTGAGGAGAGAAGGAGAAAGAGAGAGGAGAGAGGAGAGAGAGAGGAGAGGAGAGGGGGAGACAGTGGGGTTGTGTTTCTCCTCAATCAGACAGACAGGAAGTGGATCAGCAGGAGGGAGGAAACCCCCTTCTGGGCTGCTGGGTCACAGGTGGCTCTGCTCAGGGACTAGCAGGGGGCCTGGGTGAGGGGCAGGAGCCTTGGCTGTCAAAGCTAGCTGTCCTCGCCTTCCACTGCAGGACACACAGACACAAGGAAATGATTCATAACACATATGTTGCTTATTTTATTATTCTTTTTACACCGCAGTCACTCTCAGGCCGCTTTCAACACACGACCAATATCTGTATAGGTGTCGGTGTTCCAGGAACACATGTGAAGTTTTGGACTCATACAAGGAACTCAGTGATTAATATCTGATAAGACACCCGTATACAATCTCAGCAGAAACAAGGAAACAATATTATCTGCGTCTTGGGTTTTTAAAATATGAAAATAACAAAAAGAAAAATCACGTACCCACCTTCCCTTTATGTCCTATACCTAAATCCCTTGGCTGCAGAAAATAAATAATAAATAAAGTAAACAAATAAATGAGAAATGTAAAAAAATATATATATTGATAGTAATATTAATATTAATGGATAATGTCTTTTATTCTTTGCCTTACTTCTATTTGGAGCATAATAATGCTCCAAGTTTTGGAACTACAACTCCCAGAACCAAAGTTATATAGGTTCCAATGTTGAATAATAAAAAAGGTTTCAGCCAAAACGTTGGCCAAAATAAATCGGTGAAATTGAGATTAGTCAGCTTTGTCCTGGAAATCGGTGTGTAGGTTACCATGGATTCAGTGAGACAGGCTACGGTAACAAATAGTGATTTACGCGTCAACCACACACACATATTTGCTATTGGTTGAGGCTGCGATTTCACCAGTCAAACTCCACAAGAAGCAGAGATATGAATTGACACCGGAAGCCTCTTCACTCGCAAAGAATGGAAGTTAATGGGAGGCGAATATTCACATTTATGTTGTGTTATGTTGATTTCATGTAAGTGTGACTGTGTCCTTTTGCTGTGAGCCAGCGATCCAGAAATACTTTTTCTTATAAGCTGACATTGTGAAAAAAAGAAGCGGCTATAAAACAGTGTGAGTGTCACAACCCGAGCAAAATGACCTGTTTTATCAGAATTTGATCCAAACTGTCCAATAACAAGTCCAGAAATAGAGAAAATGATATTCTCAGTAAGAGTAAGTCACACTGACCTTAAAAATGTGTGTATCACGTCTGTGTGTTCAGATTTGAGTTATGAGTCAGAGCAGGAGTCTGATTTTTGACGCACCACTGCTTTAATTCCCTCCATGAGCTGTTTGTCATTGCTGGTGCTTCCGCTGTTGGAAGTGTTGGTAAGCGGTTGCACCACCGGTTGTTTTCAGAACACCTGCATACACCTGTCCCTTAAATGCAGTATCTTTCTTGCCTCATGTCTCTCCCTCTGTGCTGCCTCCTCCACCACCACCACCCTTCCAAACCTACAACAGACGCTTCAAACTGGAAGCCGAATTACCAGCTTAGCCCCCGATTCCTCATCCTAAATGATGAACACACACACAAAATACTTTTGTCCTAAACCTACCTCTTTCTCAGATTTCTTGGACTCCAGCAGGGGGTGCCAGTGTGCAATGGGCTTGCGTGGATATGCCAGCATTTCGTTCCAGTGGTCCCTGCCAAGTCCCTCAGCATTGCACCCAACCCTCATCACACCAATGATCTCATTATGACCTACCCTGTGGGGACACATACGTACTGTATAAATACATCTGATTTAACCTGACACGACATCTCATACATCAAACTGTTATTTATAATTGCAAGAAGGGCATTTTGTAATGAGAGGAGACACAAATCTCAACCTGGATGTGCCGCCAATTGATACAGTGAGTCTGCAGCTGATTGTCTCTAGGACACTTGAATTGACTCATCTCTGGACACTCATCAAAGGAAATCTTTGTTGCACTAACAATGTCTGAAGTGTAAATGAAGGCAGTGTTTTTCTTGACATAATCCCTAGATCCTGATTTAATTCTAGCATAAGAGCAGACAGTAAAGAAATCACAAGAGGCTGTTCTTTTTATACTCCACAGTAGAAACACAGACACACACACACACACACACACATTGTGACCTTTAACACGCGTGTTCTCATTCTGTCAGCTGTCTGAACTCTTTTTCCCTTTCCTGTTAGAGCTTCATGTACCGTAAACATAAAGGTACTGTAGTGCACTATACTCCTTCTCTGAAGATCTATAATTTAACTGAATCTCATTTGAAAATGAGGAATAATCAAAATCTTTTTTCATTAAAGATCCCCTCCAGGCATGAAAATACTTAGCTTTCAATAATAATTTGTGTCTAATAGGGTTGTTCCAGACAAATGAATGACTGGTAAAGTCTCAAAATTACATCTACTCCTTATCCTTCCTTGAAATATCTAGAATTTATGAATGAATTTATTTTTCATTTTAAAAGTTTAACTAAAGGACAGAAGATTTCTCAGACTGCACTGAAAATGTTTCAGATTTTAACACTTGTCTAAGTTGTACAACGTAGGGCTTTTCCATTAACGCGCCGAGTCAAACCATGCTGCGCTGATTTGCATCTCCATTACCAGTTTAAACGCACAGAGTTGTGTGGCGCTGCGCCCGAGACATTTTCAAAGTCTCTGAGCGTTCAGCTCTCAGTAGTCTTGTAACTTTTAACTGAATCTCTTTGGTTTTAAGTTTAGTTTCTGTCATGCGTTTCTGTTTGTACTTTAAGATATCTGCTTTATTTTACCGTTTCATGTCCGCTTTCATCTGTGTAGGAGTCGTGTTAAGTTACTGCTGACTAAAACCCAAAATTTCCTGATTTTGATGAGAATTTTATTGTGAAAAATGTTTAGGGAATCAAATTAAATTAGTGGAGCTTAGTTAGCGGCAAAATACAACAAGTTTACATACTGCTATTGAATCTTGAGCTCTCTCTACTATTGCTGCTCTCTCTGGCTGTAAAGACACACCTCTACCTCGGGTAGTCCTGTTGTAATGGAGATGCAAATCCCTGCTGTGCTGGGCTGAGTCAAATTGAATCAAGCCAAGCCAGAACATGAGTATAGAGTCAAAATCATGCTCTTATGAACTCATCTTAAACTCTGCACATACATCATTCTTCACAGTGAAGGTCAAACATCCAAATAACAAAAAAAACATTTAATACATTTTTAAGTGGAAGTGGACACATTTTCATTATTGTCTTAAATTAGATGTTTGGTTTGTATTTACAAATCGTAGTCCATGACAGAGATGTGCAGGCTGACGTGGTCCATACTGTCTGGCGGGATGTCAAAGATGATGGCCTCGTTGTAGGAGGGATTCAGGGTGTTCTTTTTTATGCTTGTCTTCTTCTTTTTCAAACGTCGCCCGTCACATATGAGCGAAACTTTGACGTAGGGATCTAATCGGTGAGAGGAGAAGAAAAAAGAACAAAGACAGACTTCATCTAAAGAAAAGTGCTGATAATTAAATATCACCGTGTCTGAACTCTCTGCAAGGTATCCATCTTATGTAGGAAACTGACAGAGCCATAATTAGCATGAAGATCAGGCGTCTGGGATTATTAGAAGAGAGCTTTTACAATGTTTGCCTTGACTGCCAAAACATCTTCAAAGATGTCCGTGAAGATAGAGCCATCAGTGGCCTATTTCATCACCCAGTGTGTCGTGTGTGTGTGTGTGTGGAGGTTTTTTTTCTTTTTGGTTTCTACTTAAGCATGAAAGCAACCCTGGAGGACCTGGCATCAGTAATGTGAAGAAAAGTAGATGAGTCAACGCCTTGTGTAAACAAAGGAGATGTGAGGCCATAGATAGCTTAAACAGCATGACTGAGAGAGCTTCCTGATGAATGCAGATTTCGATCGTCATCCTTCAGTGGCAAATCGCCTCGTATGATCCATTATCCCACGTTTTAGTCCGATGTAAGCTGCCCTAAATCTATAAACAACAAACAAGAGTGCTTGCTTTGCAGCCCAATATGCTTGACGGCACAATTTGATAGCTACGGGTTTACGATGCAGAGATTGAAATAATGGCAGACAGCTAAGCCCCTAAAAACTCAGGGGATTAAAAATCGTGAAATGTCATTAAACATGGGAGGAAAAATGCCACATTCACTCCGAATTACACCTGAACTCTGGCATTTAATGCACAATAAATGTCACATTTTACAAGTGATATGAGTATTGTGGTGAAACATGCAGTCGATTAAAATAAACAGACCGCCTGCAACTATTTGCTGACATTGTCTTAATATTGCAAGTGTTGAATATTAATAAGTGCTGAAATAAACAGAGTGCAGCTGTAGAGATGGCTCGCCACTGTTTGTTCACTTAATCTGACAAGCTTACAATTGGATATTCATGGGGGGGAATCATTCATTTTGCGCCACTGCAGCTGTAAGTGAATCACACAAACACACACCTGAGTATCCAGTGATGTCCATGGCCTTGAGGTTCCTGCACTTGATGACAGTAAGTGTGAGTCTGCCTGCGGTGGGCAGGTAGCATAGTGAAAACATGATCTCCCCAAGGTCAACACTTTCCTGTGGGAACACACACACACAAAAAAATCTATTTCATTTTTACATTCAACCCTGATGCTTTGATCCAGAGCCATGTACAATAAGTGCAGTGTCTCATCCTCCTGGTCTGTGTCTGAGATCAATGCTATATTTTATTTATAGTTTGCTCTTAGTAGAGCTCAGTCATTGAAGCAAACAGTGAAGACACAAGAATAAAATAAAATAAAAAATACAATATTTAATTCACTACTGTGTTATCTGTTATCTTTCTCAACTTTTATCATGAAATTGCAAAAAACAGGAAAGTTTATGGTGGCCTCTTGTTCCAATTAGTGTAAGAAAATATTAAAAAAATATCATATTGCAGTATTTAGTTTTATGATATTGTATCGATTCTTAATAACACTGTATCAACTTTTGTGTTTAAACCCACAACCGATAGACAGCAATGTTGTAAACACATGGCTATTTGATGTTGGATGTTACAGGAACTATGATAAATAAAAAATCAGATCCCACAGTTTTTATTTTGGTGTTTTCTATACTATGTTTTCCTAAAATTTGATTATTTGTATATATATATATGTATCATATCACCAGATTCTTGCCAATACATAGCCGTAGTTCCCAAAAGTAATAAAATCTGATTCTAACAATTGAGACTAGTAGGCCTAAACTAATTAGAGCACAGATTAGACCTAAAGGTGTGAAAGAGATAATATGATGCAAAATAATGCAACTTCTCCATTTGCATTTTTGGCTTGAAAAAGGACTGCATTATGAGTCTGTTGTTAACTGCAGCATTGTTTTTAGATCAGGTACAGGAGGGATGCATGCGTATTGTGTTGAATAACAAGTGGAGAATATTTGTTGTAAAGCACGGTGCTGGTTAGAGAATGAGATGTACTGTCGTCATTTTGTACGACTACTCAAGTCTGTTGGCCAGGATCTACTTAACTTAGCATAAAGAGTGAAAAACGGGGGGGAAACAGTTAGCCTGGCCCCGTCCAACGTTCAATACACCAGCACCTCTAAAGGCCTCTTCAACAGGACTGTACATTATTTAATTATATTAAAGGTTTTAATGAAGAGGAAAACATCTCTCTGAGCCAACAAGCTTGCTACTTGTCTGCAATTAGCTCAGTTGCTAAAAGTTCACACGGTTTACTCCAAAGAAGTTCAGTATTTGTATTAACTCATGTTACTCTCTGCAAACAATTCCACAGCTAACAAGCTACGATAGCATCCTCCATTTTGATCTCTCCGACTCTCTGTATCCTCAAATGTCAGGACGGCTTGCTGTTGGTCAGTGTAGGCTGTAGTAAACAAACAAATTTAATTTCTGTTGGACTCTGGAAAACAGCCAGGTTAGCTGCTTCCAGTCTTTATGCTAAGCTAAGATAAGCTAAGCTAAGCCCCCTGCCTCTAGGTCCATAGTTAATGCACAGACATGAGGTTTTCTCATCCAGAATAAGCATTGTTATGTGGAGTTATCTTCATTCCCAAGGTGTAATTCCCTTAGTAAATGTTGGTGTGTATGCTGAGAGGCAGGTGCACATTCGCTCATTTGATCCACATTTATATGAGCTGTGGAGTTGTGATGTTTGAAAGATGCTTGTTGACCCTAGAGGTTTTCTCTAGGGGGACCTGCTCTACCCTTTGAGAGCAAGCAGTGTGCTTTCTTTCTAAAATGTCAGTGGGTAATGTTTTCAGCTGTCAGTCAATTTTAAGGAAGGGAATGTTTACTAGTTTATCATTATTAATATGTTTCTTTAATCATGCCTATTAGAGGTTAAATGTGATTATTATTTTGTTAAAGTATAATTGAGTATAACGTATTTATCTCTAAATAAGTGTAGATTGAAGCCACCTGGGCCAAAGTGGCACTTATCACAGAGCCTTTTCCTGATTGGCCACACAGAGCAGGTGACAGGCTATAAAAAGCTTTGGAAGAGAGCAGACGGGTTGGTCTGTTTTTCCCACGCACCAAGAGTTGTTTGTGTACTATTTGCTTTTTCTCACTGACTGTCTGCACACAACCTTAAGAAGGAAACCTAATGAAATGGGTTTTTTGTCTTGTTTTGTTTCTGTTTAAATTGTCTTTATCTGAGAAATCAATGCCTGCATGCTGCTCTGCCCTTCCCACTCACGCTGTCAACCATCCTCAAGTACAGCAAGCACCCACAATAACGTTTCTTTAAAGGGAAGATTGTTGTAAGAAAAAACATGTATTTATCAGAAAAAATCTTATCATAAATAAAAAATGTGTTTTGAGCTTTTCCTTTATACCCTGAAGCATCCTGTGGAGAAAAAAAAGGTCTCCAACAGTACAGCGATATTTCACTGAGAAAAGGAAACAACAGGGCTTCACTTTAAGTCCTCAAGGTTATTTAACTTTCAGAATCTCCTTGAAACAAATAAATACTGAAATCATGACCTCCTGATCAACTTTTGCCAAACAGCCAAATTTCATTATTCTCACTACAGTTTTCATTACATTATCAAAAACAACAACAAATTCTGATCATGATTCCAGATAATCATCATCGCTCAAGACAGTAAATCAAAACCAAATAGAACACATCACATTTACAGCTCAAGAGAACACAGCCCAATTACCCACATAATCTACGAGTGAATGAGTCTTAGAAAAATGTTTGTTTTTAGAAAAATATCATCAAGATTTTTCTTATTTTCTTGACTCTAATTTACTTTTGAGACAAAACTTAGCTGTTCATCTACTGAAAAACTAACTTTCACTTGTGTGGCGAGTATGAGTCCCTACTAAGCTAATAGTCTCAAATGGAATGAAAGCCTTGTTATCTGTCTCGTGTGAGGTTTTTAGCCCCATCCTATAAACTGTATTAAGGTTGCACAGACCCCTAATCTCTCCGAATGAGCTTGGTGAGAACGCTGCTGATTGGCAAATCTCAACACGTCTGTCTGAGTGCTGCAGTCTTAACGTCTCTTCACACATACAGCTGCGCTCTGGCTTTTCTCCGCTGTGGAACTGAGGGATTTCGTTTGAAGGGTGTGAAGGTTCAGCCATAATGTGAGAGCACAGCAGAAATGTCAAGTGCTGTAAAAGCATGAAGTGACACTTTGATTGTCCTCGCAGAAACACAGGCTGTTTTGGTGCCAGTCAGTATCATCTACACTGCATTTATCATGTGTTAGCCACGCTAGCGGCATGGCTCCAGGGACAGAAATGTCAGTCGATCGGTCGTTAGGTCAGTCCACCACTTTGGTTCAGATTGAAATATCTAATATAATGACTATTTGATTGATTGCTATGAAATTTTATACAGGCACCGATGGTGCCCAGAGCTCGAATCATATTGACTCCGGTGACCGCCTCACTTTCCCTTTAGTGCCATCAATGGGTAAAAGTTTTTCATGTATCCAGTGAAATATAGTGCCATGCAAAATCTTTTGGTCATTGCCTTAACTTTTCCTTTAGCACCAGAAGGTTGAAATTTGTGGTTTTGAGTGAAATGTCTCATTGAATAGGTTTTGTTGAAATTTGGATTCAGGTCCCCTTCAGGATAAACTGTTCCATACTTAGCTTTTTTTGTGACTTTTTAAAAAGAAATTACGTTCCCCAGCTTCAGCTATACTCTGTTAAGTGCTAATTAGCAATGTTAGCATGCTAACACGCTAAACTAAGACAGTGATCATTTTGTAATTTTAAGCGAGTAGTAGGCGTTTTGAAGGGGGAGATGCCATCCCCCCTTGCTAACCTAAGCCATCCCCTAGTAGCAGAGAGAATGGGGCAGAGGGGCAGTGTTAGTCTAGTCTGCCTGACTCATTGATCCTTTATCTGACTGAGATTTGTGCAAATTAGAATCCATGGCCCCAACCATGGCTACGAAATATCAGTAGCCTAACTGTGCTGTGTATTGACAAATCCATGGCGCTGTCCATGGTGATGAAGTAGCAGGCGGATTTGTAATTCTCTGAGTACTGCCCTTCTGTCAGTTTCTCTAAACTATATACTATAAATACTCAGCTATAAACTCTTTATAGTAGTGTCAACTTCAGGATCATAGAGACACTGTTGTGTATGGGAGTTTGTACGTTGGTTGGTGGTGTCAGGGCAGGGGGTTGCTCCCATCAGGCCATCCCAACATGTTTTCACTCCCAACTTTGTCAAGAATTCTGCTGCTTGGTTAGTGGCCCTTTACTAAAATATAAGACGCTGTAGGTGCCCCTGTTGTCCCTACGGTCCCTACGGTCAAGTTGGCAATAAGACCTTCAAAATAAATCTTAACGTTGTGGAACGGTCAGCTTACGTCTAGGCACAAAAACTACTTCCTTAGGTAACTACTTACTGACTGGCCAAAAGAACTAGTTAGGATTATGAAAAGATGGTAAGTTACGTTGCGTACCTGATGAACTTAAGTACATGAATAAAACAGAAGTAACGTGACCTGAAGATGAACGTTACATATGTACCTCAAGGAAATTATTACAAATTAACAGATCAAATCGGCTGCAACTATTGGATGCACTGCCATGTAATTTGGTATTGATATGCACATGCCCCTCAGGATAAACTGTAATAGATCTCCTCACTTTAAATCTAGCCCCATAATCAGGTCAGAATTTTACTGTTGCTTAGGGCTAAAAAACAAATGTTAGCATGCTAAAATGCTGAAACTAATATGGTAAACATTAAACCTGCTAAACATCGTCATGTAAACATTGTCATTGTGAGCCTGTGAGCATTACTGTAGACTCTTTCTCTGCTTTAATCTCAACTGTCAAGTCAATTAGTTAAATCTTTTACTGTGTTTACATTTCCGCTGCATTATTTATCATACACTATGGATAATTTATAATGAACACTGACTTTTTAGTCACTCACACTAACTTACACTTCCATTAATGCCACTGATACATAAACCTTCTCAAAAAAGCTTAGTCAGATTGTACACGTATGAGGAATGGTCTGAAGTCAATAAGTATACTAGTCTCCTCCAGACTTATCTTATCTTAGTAATGCTAGTATAAGTTGGTGTTATTGATGAATGTCTCTCCTTGATCTATGAACTGAGGAGAGCTGCTGGCTCTTCTCTTTCACCCTCCCTCCTTCTGCTCAATACTGGCGTCTTTTCCTCTCATTAAACTGCACAACGTTTTTAAACCAGTGTCTTAATCTTACCCGAGACTGACATTACACACCACTTCATGTTTGTTTTTTGTTTCTACTGAGCGCCACCATCTGCGCATTCTTTATGTTGCCAATCTTGAATTTAATGTGAGCAAGGGATTTGGTCATAAAATCATTTGGCGGTTCAATAAAGTTTGCGTGCCAAGGAGAGGGCCGCCTGCTTTTCTGCCTCCTAAGCAATAACATTGAGATTATCGAACAACCCTTGAAGAAGCTCAAGTTCAAAAACTGGAGGGGGAAACTGTCAGATAAAAGGTCTCTGTGGAGGTGATAAAGTGAGGAGGGCTCTAAGGTCCCGAATATGGTGCCAGAGGCAAGAAACACTTCCAGAAAATGTCCCCTGGACATCATCAACAAGTAACACAGCAAACAGAAACATAATTACATGAGTAAACTGCTTATGTTTGAGATGTTACCGCCTTGTGACTACAACTATAGTCCCTTTATGCAATTTAATAAGTGAAAATTATGTTTTGGTAGAATAAAAATTTAACTATGTATCTGATTCTTAATAGTGCATTAATTTCTAGTCATTTGATTCACATTACAGGTTTGCAGCCTTGAGTTTAATTCCTCCAACACATTCTGTACCTCCGTCAGGCACTTCAAAGGAGATCTCTTCATCTTTTCTTATTGTTTGGAATTTTTCATCTTGAATCATTAACATTTTAATTCCCTATATTGAGATCAGGAAGACAATTTAAGTGGACAAATAATGAATCCTGAATACTGAAATGTGTTTATTGCCCTAAAAGTAGTGAAAATGTTATCTATTTTAAAAGCCCAAGCGCACTACCCAGTGCCCATGAAGTTGAATATATATCGAAGGGTGTGGTGATAGTCACATCAACTCTGAAAAAGCTGGCCCAATAACAGTGAGGAATGACATGCTCAACAAATGAGGTTAAGCTCACATTTTCCTTTCCAGTTTGTCTGATCTGCAATTAAAGTTTAGTTTTATATCATGAGAGACTGCAGTTCTAGTTACAAAGTGTGAAATACTTCTCCACTAAAGAATCTTTTAACAGCAGCAATGAGGGAGATCAGACCATGGAACTGCTGAAACTGTAAGACAGATTAATGTTTAGCCAGGAATCCATCTAATCGTCCAACTGGCTGATCATTGATTGTTCTGGAAATTAATGAGGTGACAGAAATCACAGATTTGGGGCTAAAATCTGGATGATGTATAGTGTCTGCCTGGCTTCACCCTCCCCCAGATTTCAAGAAAATGTCCAGAGGACATGACCTCAGTGTGCTCGCTACAACCCTGGTTGAAAATATTACTCATGTCTATAGATTGTAATGTATACTTGAACTCACCAGTCTATGTGAGGCATGGGTCATGTAGACTATAACATCTCTGCAGTCAGTCATTTGATATTGAGTGTAGAAGAAACATAAAAAGCCAATAGATTCTTACACTGGTGGCATATTGGATGTCCCTCCATATGTTCGTCTCCCTGGAGAGGTCTGACGTCTCGAACAAGTTGTCCAGCACCACCTCCCCGATCATATCGTGTCGTGAAAACCGGTCAAAGTCAAAGACGCTCATATGAAGCTTTCTGACCGCCAGCTCATCGTAAGGCACGGGAAACTGGAAGCTCTCACTGAATGTGGGGTTGAGCGTCTTCCTGTGGACGCGAGTCTGGAACTTCTTGCGGTCAGGCAATAGGTAGACCTTCACGTAAGGGTCAGATGTGCCACATAAGTCCTTGGCAGGTAGGTCTACTGCCTTGATGATGTTGACTAGGAGGGCCTCGTTTTCGTAGTCGTACTTGAGCGAAAAGTTAATCGAGCCACAGTTTTTGCTGCTGCCGTTCTTGGATGATTCCTCTGATTCAAGGGTCTTCTGTTGGTAAAGCTCTGGCTGGATGCGGCCGATGCTGGTGGGCGTTTCGTCCACCACATAGTCATTTCCCAGGTCTAGGCTGCCTACCTGCATCTGCCTGGGCAGGTGTCTTTTGAATGAATTGTGCCTGCAGGGACAGGATAGACAGAAAGAAAGAGAGTGACGTTCGTGTTAAAGAGCTGTAGTGCAGACAAGCAGGGAAACTTCAGGAAGGTTTTGACTTTGAGGGACAAAGACACACCAAGATGACCTCAAAGAACCCCCCTCTGACAAAGGGTGACTGATTGTGTCACCTCATGTCTCCTGACATCTTCTATTAAAGCTGCAATTGACCAAAGACAACTGAAGCAGCAAAAAGCCAGCTGATTTTCCTGTGCGAGAGGAAATAACTAGTGGCCTGTGGCCTGTATTTATATTTAAAAATGCATGGAAACAATTACCCTAGAAAGGAAAGGTTGTAACATCCTTGGAATACAGATTAAGAATATGTCTGATTTGCATCTGACATCGTTAAGTTGCTTTTTTTTGCTTTGCACTTGGGGGTTGTCTTGTCTTTTGCATGAAGTATGTGAAAATACAATGAAAGCTGTAGGTGAAATATAAAAGTCAAGATAAGACTGCACTAAATTTACAAAATAACAACAATAACAAAAAGCCAAATGAGGACCAAATTAGGACCCAGAGGTGACTGATGGTTTGCTGTGTCAGGACCCTAAATGGAAATTTTTGCTGCTTTAGTCCAAGGACAAATAGATGTGCTTTTAAAGGATAGCTGCATAATAAGCAGAATGGACTACTGATGTTCACTTACTAACATGGTGAAAACGTACAGTTCTGCTAGTGTTGGCACAGAAAATGTTTTTTTTCTTAACTCTGTTCCATTAATTCTCATGAAGAAGCCATCACATATAATTAGCCTTAACATAATGACCTGCAAAGAGGTGCCTCTGAGGCAGAGAGCAACACGATCTACAATATTTATTTTAATTAACTTTGTAGATACCAAATTGCTTAGATCGGAAATTTCTGCTTTCATTAGTAATACATTACTTGGTGCCTACTCTGAACATACACAGTATTTTCACTGAGGCTTTTTTTTGATATCCACTTTCTTTTTATTTCATGTTGGATTAGTGGAACTTCTGTACCACATGTCTTAAACTCTGCCTATGTGTGCATCCATGCATGCTTACCCCAAAGCATATTAACACATGAATAACCACATCACACATTCCTGTGTATTATCAGTTGTAAATACATATGCACATGTATATGACTAACCGAGTGGAGGAAGCCGGCTCAGTGGTTTGCCTCTGCATGCGTTGCGTGCGGCGCAGGAAGTGCTCCCTCATGGAGAGCTGCACATCAGTGGGGATGTCGGGGGATGTACGGCTTATCTTCACTGCTGCCTCCAGGAAACCCATCGAGCCCATGGGGTCCTTCACCTTCTCTGTCGCCATGGTGACCAGTGGCTGCTGGGGGCTGGGCAGCAGGGGATGCGGCTGGAGCGGGCAGCGCTCTGGGCCACAGGCCGGGCTGAGGGATGGGCTGGGGAAATGGGCCTTAGTCCGCCAAGGCACACAGCACAGCCTCCAAGAGACGAATGTAAGAAGGCCCAGCAGAGCCAGGCCACAGACCACAAACACACCGAGCAGGAGGCCAAAAGTAGCGTCTGGTGGTGAGCCGCGGGGACCAGAAATGGAGGATCACACAATATGGACAAACAGATGGTGATTACAAGGGTGAGAGAGGAGAAAGAGAAAGGGAGATATGCTGTTAGGACATGATTTTTCAAACGGTCTGGTGCTATATCATTGGTTTTTATATAAGACTGAGGAGAGTGAGCTAAGTATACTGGGAGATGTGCTTCATAAATATTAAAGTAACCTCCATTAGTCTTCAGTTCAGGGAAGGGATAAGGGAAGCATATTAATGTAAACAGAATTCAAATGTGAGTAGGGTATACATATACATATAAAGACCATTTCCTATGACGTTAGGCTTGCTGTGTGAAAAAGTAATTAAAAAGAGCAAACAACAATATACTTGAATTCAGCACAAAATAATAAGTAGAATAGTGTGTAATGTGTCAGAAGACTTCCTCTTGGATTTTTACCATGAAAGAGATAAAAGGAGGCCGGGCACAGTCGAAACTCATTTATTTCCCGGCATTTTGACTATGCTTCCTGAGGAACAAGCAGCACACAAAGACCTGGAGACGTACCAAGAATGCTGACAAGCACTCTGCAAGGATTTATAGGGACTGAAGGGAAAAAGAAAAAGCACAGAAAACATACAGTACTATATCTCTGGCTTCTTGCCTTTGGGACCCTTGCCAGAGTCGCTCCATTCTTGATTTAAAGTAATTATATTTCCCCACCTGATACTTGGAATGTTTTTCCACACTTTTCAGCTGTGATTGAATTCAATTCTCTAAATTTTGCTGTAGTGCTGTTTTCCTACTCACACTGATTACTCGGCTTTATCTACAATAACTCAAGCTGAGAAGCGCCTCGGTGGCCTCTCAGAGGATCCCTGCGACGCTCGAGAGATAGCAGAAAGCTGCTTCAAGACATGTTGAAGTAGCTCTTTTCTAATATCTACCTGGCTCAACCTTTCTTTTTTTAAAGTCAAATATGAGCGTTGACAAGCTGAAACCTGCAGATGAGGTTGTGTTTATTTGAAGTTAGGTTTATGGAGAGTTCGTTTTATTTATTATTTATATGGAAAATCAGATAACTTGTAGTCCTTGACAGTTGTCGAAGAAATATTCATCTTTTGTACTAAAAGTATCAATACCACAGTGGAAAAATACTACCTTATACTTATCTAAGTATTATCATTTGTATCATGAGTGGTTGAATTATAAGTACATTTCCAAAAATACTGTACTTGAGTACAGTTTTGAGGTACTTTACTTGAAGTATAAAGTAGCCTAACATTAAAATACTCAACTCCGATACATTTCATAGGGACTGAAATTATATAATTGAGTAAAAAGTAAAAAGTTTCCCTCTGAAATGTAGTGCAGTAGAGCTATAAAATAGCATAAAATGGAAATATTCAGTAAAGTAAATTCCACCACTGGTCTTTGGTCTTTGATGTCAAATGGTATTACATTTCAAACTACCTACTATAACTCACTTTCATGAATAGAGACAAACCACATATTTTTTGTATAAACTATCTTAAGTTGACCAACAGGCTGTAAAAAGACCACTTTATTTTGGCTCAAATTAAGAGCTTTCATGTTCAAAATTCAAAATAAATGGACTGTCCACTAAGTCGAATTTATAGCTTAGCCAGGCGGTGGACAGGATTTCAAGTCTGGAGGATTTATGCCTGAGGAGGATTTCTCAGCTGTCCACAGCCCTGGTCTCTCCATGTCATCTGAAATTTCACACAGCTCTCCACAAAGCTTTGCCTTGACTGGACTGTCGCTCGCAGAGTCTTCATCCGCCATCACGGCAAATTGAAGCAGACCCTGCGCTGTGCACCGATAGACGAACGCCTGTGGTGACAATCTTTTGCTACAAACAAAATGCGTTGACAGGTCAGAAATTTATATGCGAGTATGTGTAACTTTGGCTTGTTTTACTTCTTCCAACGCAGCAACACCATTCGGAGTGTTCACTGAAAATGGGTTTTTTATAGTCTGAGACAACCCAGACCCCCCAATCAAACATCAAGAAAGATTCCAGTAATGGATTTTCATATTACTGCTCATATTATTACTTTGTCTTACTTCTATTTGGTAGATAATCATGCTGTAACATTTGGAACTAAAGTTCCCACAATGCTTTAGGTGATGTAATCAGGAAGTATAATGTTGCTATGGATTTATACTGTGGGCTGCAACTCATTTTTTAAGCCATTATTTGTTTGCATTTTGGCAAATTGGCACCAATGAAAGTATGCTGAATTAGCTATTAGCAGTTGCTTATTGCACGGATAACTGGCACTGGATTAATTTGATACGTAAGAAAATTTAAAAACATTTTTTTCAGGCAAGTTCTGAAGTTATGAGAGTCTTTTTCTGTTATTTCTAAGCAGATTTATAAATGTTTATTCATGAAGTATATTGGGGATAATTATGCCCTCTGAAAGTGTAAGTCACAATGAATTTAAAAATACGTGCATCCTGTGTGCATAGATTTGCCTCAGTTATTACTCTGAGAAGATGGATTCTTTTTTTAACGTAAATTGCACCAATCGGGCGCTAAGGGTTTTAAAGTATCATAATAGCCTCCATGAGCCATGTGTCACAGCCTCTGCTGCAGCTCCAACTGACCATGTTGGCCAAATTAGTGATCCAAACTACAATAACCAAGCCACCCAACTCTCTCTCTCTCTTTCACCTCACCTCTTTGCGTAAGCGAAAACCTCACAGTTTGAAAACCTCTGCAGGAAAGTGCCACTAAAAAATGGCCGTGCGCAAGCAGACTGGCAGACATGATAAGTGTTTGTGTAATGACCTTTTTGTTCACATCACAGCTCTAAAATTACACCGCTGCACCACTGGCTATTACTTTTTTAACTTTTGCCCTTTGTTCGACAGATGCCATAACCATAAAGGTACAAAAAGAAGTAGAAACTCACGTTTTTCCGTGATAATCACAGTATAGCTGGATCTAAATCATACACCTGTCACCAGTCTTGTTCGGCTAAGGTTAATAAGAGAACTCCAGCACTGCAATGCTTTCAATACAGTAAGTAATTTCTACCATAATGACTGCAAGTGTTGACACTGAAATGCTGCTAATTTCTCAGTCCTTTTTTTTCATCTTTTATTGTTCAAAAGCCAAGAGAGCTAATGATGTAGCGATAGCGAGCCAAAAAGAGAGAGAGAGAGAGAGAGTGTAGGAGAAATAGAGAGTGAAAGAAAAGCCATTGTAATTCCTCTCCAGACAGATGGGTAATGGAGCAGAGCTGTGTGAGCATATTACTCCCTCCGGACACAACCTCCCCTGACAGCGTGAGACTAGACTGACCTCAGGGTTTAGCACACTATTAATGATCACACCCACGCCATAGAGGAGTGGACTATCAGTATCCTGCAGTCAATCAAAACGGTCTTTGCGGATGCTCTCATGCTGAAAACACAATCAATACTTCAGAGGAAGAATCAATCTCACTGTAAAGCTCCTTCAGGGGGGGTTTAGGCCAGGTGCAAAGGGCGAAGAAGTGAGGCACTGCTGTGTGAAAGACGGGTACTTCATGTTTTTTTAAAATGAATCTTCCAGGTATTGACCTCTGAGCTGGGTGACTTGCGTGATCACAGTGACAGCTCCAGTGCTCTAAAAACGTTGTGGCATGCTTACCCTTTCCCACAAAGCTGAACCACATCGAGCTCTGCAGCAAGCAACCGGTGGCTGCTCTCCCCGGCTGCCACTTTGCATGTTTCAGTACAATCTTTGTCTCATTTTTAATCACGAAAGTTGAACAGCAAAGTCCGAACCAAAACAGCACTTGGATAGATATTATCATGTGAATCTGAGGGTGCACAAATTTAATCAAGGTTTGTTTTTGAAGTGGAGTCAGAGAGCAAAGTGAAGCCTAAGGGCTTTTCTCTCTCTCTCTCTCTTTTTCATCAAGTGCTTTCAAATCTAACCTGGTTTCCATAGTAACCCAGTCATTAGAGAGAATATGCACTCACTCTGTTTGCTGTTATGAATTGACTCATCTTCGGCAGGAAAAGTTCACTCACCTGGAGGTAGTACACACAGGTGATAGAGACGTCAAAATGCTGCTTGTGGCGAGTGAGTTACTTTACACAAGCTGCAGTCTGCAGTGTGTTGAAGACACAATATAGACTTGATTGTATTGTCACATAAGGGACTGTATGAAAATGATTAGTGGGGAGGGTAATGTGATTGTCTTTTTTGCTGAAGGGATGGAGGTCTGAATATTTGTGGAAGAGCAGGGGAAGGATTTTTCTTGTGTTTTTTTCCTAAACTAGATTTATTTTAGCCTTGCAATACAGGGAATACACTTGCTTGTATAAGTGATTACTCATTAGCCCTACCAACAGTCGATCCCACCTTGACGGTGAGGAAACAACATTTTAAATGCATCATACAAAAATACTAAAACATGATTCAAGTTCAGCGTGACACGGTGGGCACAGTTCACTCATTCAGTGGCAGCAATATCAGTTTATTCAGCAGAGAGACTAGAATATTCACCTTTCTATTATGTTTTTGATGAATGTATTCCAAATTTCTAATTCAGTTTTTAATGTGCTATTAACCGTTCCTTTAACCCTGTCCCTGGAGAAAAAGTACATAATGGATTCAACTGTTTTTTTCCCCTGCTAAGTAAGCTGCCTCCCTGGCTAACTCATAACCAATCGTCGTAACCTTGTTATTTCAAAAAGCAAGGGAAACATAGCTAACTATGTTATTTTATGTGGTTACAATAGAAAAAGCCCCGTTCAGAACTGGAACATTACCTGCATTGGAGCCAAGATGGACGTTTATCAGAATTTAGAGTTACGTTAGCAACGCTGGCTGCTATTTATTTTAGTTTGGGGAAGTTTATGCTCTAGTAAATCCAACCAAACTTGTGTTAGAAAGATTTGCATTTTCCAAACCTATCGTTTATTTCTAATTCTTAGCTCCTTTTCTCTTGTAAAAGTAACTCAGACTGTTTAACGATACAAACATTAAAGCATAAATCTAACCACTGTGTTGTTGTCCAAGTTTGTTTTTCTATAGTACACATCCAAACCATCAAAGGGTTATGTTAAACCGAATAATTTTTTACTTAAATTACTGTACTGTAATACTTGGCTCAACTAACTCTAAGCATATTGCTCCTTTATCTCCGAGTCTTAGCATCCTCACCAGTTGATGATCTATGGATGAGTTGCTTTTAGCACAATTTACGATTGACAATGAACCAGTTTGAAACATTAAAACATCAGTTGGAAACAGTTTTCAACCAGCTCACAGAGTTTTAGCATTAGCTTTCACTGGCTAAACCTGATGAAATCAGCTAGTGACAGTTGTCTTTTGAGCTGATGAAATCTCTAGCACTCTTTGGCTAGAAATGAGAAGCTTTTATTTATTTCTGAGAAAGAGAAAACCCATTGTTTCAAAAATAACAATACATTTTAAAGGTAAATGAACAGACTTCTTGACAACAGTAACTAAAGGGGACTGGCTTAGCTAAGCATCACTTAGTGACAAATATTGTTCCATTAAGATATTATGGTCATCGTTTTTTTGTGCTTACTTATTCATTATTAATAACTCTTGGGAAGGCCAAGCTTTAAAAATGCATACATAGGATTCAGCCCCCCATTCATTTTCATACTGTCCCTAACTACCCTCAGTGATCAATAGCAATGAAACGACTGCTGTGTCGTGTACTGTTGGCCTCATTTAGGCTACCTAAAGGCCAATGTCTAAGGATGGCGGTGAGTTCTTGTGCTGTCTGTGCCCTGTAGACTACAATTACTCATGCTCTCTGCCTGTCACACACATGACATCTGATATTTCCGCAGGGAAAAGAAAGGAGCTGCAAAAAAACACATGAGTGAGTGTGGGTGAGTAAAAATGTATGACGACAAAGAAAGTGAACTTTCTGTCTCTTAAGATTTCATTTTTAGACCAATTAATATTTTTCTTCACAAAGATGGTTACCTATTACCCTCTAGCACCCACAGATACTATCTAATGCTATGTTTGCTTTTTTTCTGGCAACGCATTATGCATCTGTGGTACCGGATAAATTGTAGCTAGTTTAAAAGTAATTTAAGCCTAGATATTAAGTGTAAGAGGATCATGTGCAGTTGACTTGTTATTAATGGCTACAATTCCCAGAGAAAATTAAACTGGTTCAGGAAAGGTACGGTGGAGACAACGAGCAATGACATTACACGAAATTGGAAAAGTGCATTCAGTTCTGCACAGAACAGGCTTTGTAGTTTTCTGCAATCTCCTTAAATTGTAAATGTTTCCCGAACACACTTGTTTCAAAGCTGTCAGTAGTGGCTTTCCTGTCTTCTTTCCCTAAGGGTGGAAATAATACCCTCTAATCTTGATGTGGGTACCTCAGCCATTTTTGGATTTCTGTGTCCCATGGTGTCTTTTTCAGAGCAATCAGAAAATCCCTTAATCCCCCAGATCCTCAAATCCTAAAGCCCCACCACATGCGAAGAGGAGTTTAGACCCTAGCAGATCAGCTGGAGGTGTGAAGATGAATTTGAGTCCATGGAGAGAAACATTATACTTTGAAACTACACCAAGGTGGGAAAAGATGTTTCGAGGAAATTCTCAAAATCTGGCTAAAGCATTTCTTAGTAATGATCCCTACTTAAAACATTTAAAAATGTATTAGTCATTATTGATTGCTTTCATTTCGAGTTCATCCGTGTGTAGAAGCGGGGGATGTAAACAAGTTTTAATGATTGCAGTGGTGAGTAAACACTCAAAGTAGCAGGGATGGAATAAAGATGTT